TCAAAGCCATAAATCTGGGGTGGTAATTCACCTAGTTAGCCTTGTCAGAAAAGGGAATTCCTCATACCCTCTAGAAATGGCTGTTCTGGGCAGGGCCTGCCCCACTGGCCCTGTCCTGAGACAAAGTAGAGGACTTCGGTCTCCAGAGCCGTTGATAGGCATCTCTGGCCAGCAGTAAACTCCTTTGCCAAATGCCTAGCAGTGGTTCTGCTCAGGTGGACCAGTGTCTCTGCCGGCTGCTAGGGCGCCTGCTACCCCCAACCCTGGGGGATCCTGACTACTCTGCAGTGGGCAGTTGATGGGTTACTTACCTTCCCTGTCTTCTCTTGGGGGCTCCTTGCAGATGATCCAGCTGCTGGCTTGTGATTTACTGCTCTCACTCCGCACCACCCTGTGGCAGAAGCAGGCTAACTCCAGCCAGGCCCTGGGTGAGACCTACCACGCCTCTGCCTCCGAGCTGACGGGTTTCCAACGAGATCTTGGCAGCTTGCGTAAACTGGCCCATGGCTTCAGGCCTGCTTATCGCAAGGTAAGGTCCTGCCTCTCTTCTCATCTGCCTTCCCCACTATCCCCCGGAGCAAGCCTGTTCCTTGTGAGCATGCTCTGCACAGCGCTGCCCTTTGAGTTGTCCCCAGGAAGCAGTTGCAGCTTCCTCACTTGGGTTTGCAAATCTGAAGTGAACAAGCAGATGGAATGGCCCAGGAACTGGGAATGGCGCACGGAGCTCTTGCATCTCCAGCGGCTTTCATTCTCTCCCCACCTGCTTCCTGAGTGAGAGCCACTCCCCTCCGATGGCTGATTGGGGCCTGGCGGAAGTGAGATGGTAGTGTCAGCCCTCTTCCCACAGGGCAGGTGTTTACATGAGTTGATTGGCCTCTTCGTCTGCTGTGATTGCCAATGAGAGACTACGCTGCCCCCCCCCGTCCCTGCCCCCCTGGTCCCGAGAGGTGGCTGCATGCTAGGATTGAAGCTCATGTGCAGGGCACAGAACTGTGCTGTCTGACCATGTTGCACGTTGGGGTTCTCTCATTTTGGATGCTTCCCACTGGTTGGGTAAAGCACTTGGGAGTATCCTGGGGACACAGAGCTGTAGTGCCTGAGGGGATATAGGTGGCATGTGGAGGAGGTGGAGGCGAAGGCCGTGGGTTCTTTCATAGCTAATCCCTGGGATCTCCCTGCTCAGAGTGGGGAGCTGGGTGGGAGAAAAGTCTGTGAAACGTGGGACTCAGTTCAACTGTGTTGTGAGCAGTGGCTGAGAAGTACAAGGCAAGCACTCGTCTCACCTGGGATCCCCCCTCTTTCTTCTCACGTGTGTCCCTGGCCAGTGCACGGTTTATTTCTTTTGCACCCTGCAGCGCTCTATCTAGGCTAGTTCTCAAGCTGTGTAAACAGCCCGAGGGTTGAGATTACTTCCACCGCGCCAGTTCCTGTGTTACCGATGTGCTCCTGCTGGCCTCTTCTCCCCTCCACCACCCTCCCCACTCCTTCCTTGCCTTCTTGTAGCCTGGCGATGTATCCGCTTCGCACCTCACTCCTTTCTCGCCCCGTTTTGGGAGCACTAGAGGTGAGGTGGGAGGGGAAACCATGTTCCTGCTTGTGAGGGGGGAACTGTGCGTGCCACGTGGCAGCAGTGCGGGAGATGTGGTGAGTGTGGGCACGAGATCTTCCCAACATGAGACTGCCTCTTGTTGCTCCCTGCTCTCTTTCCCCTCTAGGTGTTTCTGCATGAGGCCACTGTGCGCTTGATGGCAGGCGCCAGTCCCACCCGCACCCACCAGCTGCTGGAGCACAGCTTGAGGCGGCGCACCCCCCCGAGTGGCAAACAAGGTGGGTCAGCACTCTTCTACGTGTGGGAACGGCACCTGTTGGGAGAGGGATCTATAGCATCCGCTTTGGCCTTGGGCTCTCTTGACCAGCAAGCATTTCATTGGCAAGGCTCAGGGTCTTGAACTGAGCTGCTCAGCATGGTGCGTGTTGGCAGTGATCAGGCTGAACAAAGCCGGGATTGGAAACAGGCTGAATCCATAGCTGAACCTCTGGGGTGTCTGGGCTTTGGAGTCCTGGCTCTGGGGAATAGCTTGGGGTCCCTGCGCAGGCTCCAGCAGAAGGTTGTATCCTAGCAGCAGAAATCAGAGCTGGGCACTTCTGGTCACAGCTCAAGCCTTAAAACTCTTCTCCAAAGCTCTCACTAAGTTGAATGTCAGGGCGGCAAACTACCCTGAGGGGGCTCCCTTTAGGAAGCAGGGAATTCACAGGGAAGGGTAAAGTTTAAAGCACTGATCTCAGACCCTCTCAGCTAGCACATGCTGGCATAAGTTAGTGCTAGAACCGAGGGCCTGGCCCCTGGTTACAGTTGGTCAGTCAGTGTTTCCCCTGGAATTGGTGTTCACTGCGCTCCCGCCCAGGCTCCAGTGTGGGCCTCCCCACCCTGCTGCCTTAAAATAATTCCCCAAAGGTTTCATCCCATCATGCTCAGGCGTGGGGTATTGACCACCACAGCTACTAAACCTGTTCTGGGGCAGCTGCATTTAATGGTGACTGACGTGCTCCCCTCTGCCCTGTTTGTAACATGTCGTGGGTGAGAGCTATGCAAGGCTTGGTTCAGTGCTCTTCCTTCTCCCACCCAGGTGAGCTGGATGCCCTGCCAGGACAGAGAGAGCGAGCCACAGCGATTCTCTTAGCCTGCCGCCATCTCCCCCTCTCCTTCCTCTCGTCCCCGGGCCAGCGAGCAGTCCTGCTGGCAGAAGCAGCCCGCACACTGGAGAAAGTGGGGGACAAGCGCTCCTGCAATGACTGCCAGCAAATGATCGTCAAACTGAGCGGGGGCACTGCTATCGCTGCCTCCTAGCCCAGGGGCCCTGCAGCCAAAGCCAGCCTTGTGAACCATCAGACTGGACTCTCGCCCCATTATACTCCCCTTTAGCACAGCGTTCTAGAGTAGGGCCGTGCAAGTGGAATCACTTGGGCTGGGGAGGGCTCTGAACTAATCCAGGGTTGGCTTTCCTAGTCACTGGCTACATTCAGGCCTGGTGGCGGGACTGGAAACTGGCTAGGAGCTCCTCACTGGGGTGAGAGGCAATGCTGGGCGAGGAGGAGGGGTCCGCAAGCCCTGAGGACACAAGTGCTATGGGTTTGTGCCTAAGGGCTGTCACCCTCCCTCCTCTCCCAAACCTGTCTGGGCTGAGGAACCACCCAGCACCCCCTGCAAGGCAATACCAGCATCTGAGGCAGAGTCTACCTGCAGACTGGCTGCCTGCCAGCTCGGTGGGGAGTGGAGAGCCCTCGCGCTGTCTCCTCAAGGCAGGGCTTGCTAAGCTGTTTTTACATGAGCCTTTTTCTATAGACTCTGCGTGTGTGGGAAGCTCTGGGGGAGGGGTGGTGCTTGGGGTCAGCCCACCCCACCCAGGAATCCCCCTGTGATTTTTATACCTTTGTTTTTTATAGCGATGTTCATGGCTTTACAAGACATAGGGAACGGTTGCAGTAGATTTCTCAACACCCCCAGCCTTGTGTGTCTCCCACATCTTGTCACTGCGCTGTCTCCTGCCTCTGGGGCCAGGAGGTTTTCTGGTGTAAATTAGCAGCATCCACGGTTTGGGCGCGGGGTTGCCCCTTTATGGACAGAGTACACCGGGAGGGCTGCTTGCGTGGTGAGGGACCCAGGATAATAGGGCGTGCAGAGACCTGAGAAGAGGGAGAAGTGTCTCTCTGTTGGCACAGATTAAACGGGTTTTTAAAACGAGAATGTTTGAGATTTCATTACACTCAATTCTAGATTCTGTCCTCTCCCCCCATCTCCTTTGTGTGTCCTCAGTCTGCATCTGCATGGCAGGTTTTGCCCCCCATGAGGAAACTTAAATAAACTTGGTCTCTGCTATGGTTTGGAGCACCTTTGTTTGGAGTGTGCTAATGCCAAGCCATGTGACATTGCAAGAGTACAGGATGGGGGAAGGGAGGATCATCCAGTTTTCCCCCCACCTCTCTCATTGCCCCTTCTGCCCAAAGGCACTGTGGGAAATCCTTCCTGTGCTATGGAAGCCAGTGCTTGGCAGGCCACATTGCTGCTGCTCTCCCTGTACCTGTGCTGTGACGGGTCGAGCTAGAACTGCATTGGTACCGGGTACCATCCTATCCTGTGCAGGCGCCTGCAGCCCTTCGTTAATGCAGCATGGTGGTCTCATCGCAGAAGCAGAACAAATTTTTGTTAAACCTTTCTAGGTGTATTCAGTTACTGCTAAGAAAAGGCTCTTGGAGCTTCAGTTACTGCTAAGAAAAGGCTCTTGCAATCACACGTGGGATCTTCTGCCCTTGTTTTGCAGTGTGCTTCTGGCAAAGATATTTCAAAGCACAGCAACTGGGAATGTTGTATGCACCAGCTTCGCTGAGATGGAACGTAATTCCGCCTCCCATCGCACCGTGCAGCTCTGCAGTAAAATGTCTCCATAGCTCGCCCACACCTTTTAGGGAGCATTTAATGGAAAAGTCATAATTGTAACTATTTTCTCAAATAAGAATGTCCTTTGTTTCTTCCCAGCATGTGGGTGGATACATTCAAAGGCTCCACTCATAGCACCTGCTTTGCACTGGCGTCAGAAGCCCGTAATAAGTGGAACTCCCAGGAGTAGTTTTCTTACCTCTGGTTTCTGGCTCCTGGGATCTGTGTTGGCTGCTTCTGTGTTAAATCCACCTCATGAGTGCAGTAATGTGGGGATACTCCTGCCCTGTAGTAATTTTGGCACAAGAACAGATGCGTTTTATGGCTCAGTACTGCAGCATCTTGGCTTGTCAGGAGGGACAGATACTACTCGTTTGCAGAGAGGCTAACGCCCACCCGCCCCTCCAAGGCAGGATGAAACTAAGACCCTGGTTTCCAAACAAACAACTCTCATAAAAGCTGCTTGAGCTAAAGCCTCAGGCTTTTTAATGTGTTTAGCAATGTGTCTGCCCTGCCCATTGCATCCTCCCTATCCTTTCAGTCCTCCCTGCTTGGTCTGCCAAGGTGGTCATGGTACACAAAGGAGGGGAAGAGTTCAGCACCCAGCCCTGTTTGTCTAGTAGAGCCAGAAACAGGGCAGTTATGGAAGTGGTGACCCTTCCAGACCCCCCTTCCCTGACCTGTCACTACTTGTTCAAAGATGGAACAGAGGACCGTACTGGAGCATTTGTGTGTGTGAAGGAGGGGGGAATGTAGACTCCTAGATGACATTGAGGGCAGTCCTCATGGCTTAAGGCCCAGTGCAGGCTGCTGTTGTGCAAATGGTGCATATGCATTTGTTCTTTACACCTGTGACTTCTGCAGGTGTGAGCTTCCTCTCTGTGACTGTTTGCGTGCTGTGATTTATGGACCTGCTGTCTCTGTCTATTCCCACACCTTTTTCTGTGTACACACTAATTTTTCTATTGGGGCGGTGTTTGTGGACAGTGTGAGTAATGGTCTAGTTATCCAATTGATGTTAGGAGTAGGGACATTGCTGTAAGAGAGAGAAGTTGGTGATGGTCCCAGGAAGCCATTTCTGCTTTCATTGAGAGGTGTCCAGTTATGTCCCCTGTGCTAGGGAGCGACTGTTGCTTAATAAAGACCAATGGTACCACCTGGCCTTGTGTACAGTGTATTTATTAATAGCCTCTCCCACAAGCCATGCTGCCTTTGAGCAGTGGTAAGACTTGAATAGCTTGTAAACTCAGCAGGGAACTGTGCTGGACTGTAGATGTAGCTAAACCATTAAAGTTCTTAAAGGGAAGTAGATACTTCAGGGAAGTATCTACAAGCCCCAGTGCTTACCTAGACATCTTGTATCTGCTAAACTAGGCTGGAAATCTTTCCAGAAAGGATGACTTTTACTGCTCACCACATTGGGAATGTAAGAATGGGCACCATTCCCTGGTAGTTTGAGGTTCTTCCTGCCAGTACAGAGTACCAGGCTGCAGTAGCAGTCTAACCAAGGAACTGTCTTTTGCCTGTGGTCATCACCCTGTGCTTCAGGAGAAGCTGTAAAATCCTGTGATGGACAATTATTAAATAAAATGCTCTTAGGGGCAACTTTGCTTAATCCCTTGTTTTCTTTCATGGCCCCTTGTGACGGGCTTCTGACAAAGCTTTTAACAATTTGAGAAACCCAAATTGAAAACAATTTGTACGCTACTATAACAGCTGATATTGCTCAGGTCCTTTAGGAGGGGTTCAGGGCTGGCATTTGGAGCGTAGGAGTAAGGGTTGAGGGGGGAGATGGGGCTCTGGGGGTCTTCTCACTCCCCAACAGAGGAAGGGGAGCAAAGTGCACCATTTGTCCCCTAGGTTCCCCAGCCAGAGTGAGGAATGCAGCCAACTGTGCACTTTCCTCTCCGTCCCTCATGAAAAGGAACAGCCAGCTGTAGAATCTCTGGCTTCAGATCCCTCTGCCCTGCCTAAAGGGTGTCTCGGGGGAGGCTCAGGGCTGGAGCAGTGCTGGATGGTTTCACTTGCCTGATGACTGTCTCTTTTCTGTATGGCTTTTATGAGACGCAATCCCATTTCCTGGCACAACATGGGAGAAGGAGCCTAGTTTCAGTTTTGGGTGAAAGCTTGGGTTGATCATTACCTAGAGTTGTTTAGTAACTCTGCAGCTTGACAGATTCAGCTCGTATGGTACAAGTTGTACATATGCCACTGCCAGTGTGTCTGGCCCTCACGGACCAATTCTAGATTGGATAGAAGTTTTCTCTTGGGAACTGATGTAATTTTCACTGGTGCTGTGGGTCATGGGACAAGCAAGCTCCACACTGGAGCTGATCAGAGGTTTCTGAACTGCTGCCAGATACTGACAATATGTGCTTTCCTTAGGCCAGTGATGGGCAGCCAAGACTAGTGAGTGGGCCTCAAGATGATCTCCTGGGATAGGGTAGTTTTGCTAACTGTACTTGCGTATGTAGAATTTGCAGGCTGTGCCGACTGAACTTTAGCAGCACTTTGTATGTAGAGGGAGTGCATGTCTTAGTGTTGTGTACAATCAGCATGTACCTCACTTCACATGCCCTGCTTTGTGGGTGTGTCACTTTAGTAATGTCAGTAGGGAAAAAAACGACACTGATGGAAAACAGTGGAATCAGACAACCCTATGTGTAGGCAACACTACACGAAATGTCTCCCGGGCCCCACACAGAATCTCAATAGACTGCATGTGGCCCTCATACTGTTGATTGCCCACCACTGCCCTAGGCTCTCCTCTTCCCCGGTGAAATGATCTCCAATCTAGTCACAGAACTTCCTGCCCTGCAGAGGGGAGAGATTACGGAGAGGAGCATAATCTACTCACCAATTCTCTAACACAATCTGGATTGCCTTAGCAAATAGTTTGCTACTTACACTTAGCTATGAGTAATCATCCAAAAAGACTTCTAGATGCTTAAGCCCAGCTAAAGCCTTCCCTCGCCAGCACAGGTATTGATAAAATTGATAAGTTGCTTGACTTTGGTTTGTTATGAAATAGATTGTTTTTTTGGTTTTCTTGAGTGTAAGACAGTTTTCTTGCTAAAAGTCAATAAGAGTATAGAACAGGAAGGAAGGCTCACTATGAGAGAGTTTCCAGGAAGTTGTCTCCTGCAGTGCTGTTAAATTCACTTCAGAGCTTTCCAAAATTATATAGCTAAATCTATTTCTGTAATCAATTTGTTTATAATAAAAGATGGGGTGTGCATCATCTGAAACTGGATTTAACCAGTCTGCTTTCTAGCTAGCTTTTCTGGGACCAGGCTGTACCCTTTGTCTTTTTTTCTGAACACATCCGTTTCCCCATACAAAGGGGCAAGAAAGTACCTTCTAGGTTTGAACCAGGGTAGAACACTTATGACTTGTGCTTTTCTTTTGGGAGGCTCCAGTACTGGAACTCTGAAAATACCTGCCTAGTTGTAGCTGTGGTAAAACACTCATATGTCAGGATCCTGGCACACTTAAGATCTTCTTAAGCCAAAAATTATTTCAGCTAATGCAAGGTGTTCTGGGATACTTGGCATAAGTGAGAAGGGTTAGAAGAAAACACAGGCAAATTCAGGCAAAACGTCATTAATATGTGGTGTGACTAACACATGTATAAGCCTAGCATCTATTGGTCAACTCAGAACACTCTGCTGCACCCGGTAATCCACCAGCCATTTAGTTCAGTAGAGACCATCTTTACCACAGAGTACTGGTAAATGGGGCACTCTGGAAAAAGCCTGGCTTCTGTGTGATAAGACAAAGGTAGCTGAGAGAATCAGTTAATTACATGGCCACCAGAGGGCAGTAGAAATCTAACTGCAAAAGGAAGAACTATAGCTAGCTAGGAAATTTTCAACAACTTTTTTGGTCAGACAGTGTTTTGTTGAAATCACAAGTCTCTTGAAAAGGGCGGCTTTTGATTAATTTCTCAACTTGAAAACATTTTGAAAAATGTAGGCTATTTAGTTTTGACATCTTTTAAAATGAAAAGCTTCAGGTTTCTAGTTTAAAATTACTTACGTAGCTATTTAAGCTAATTATCGATAAAAATTACTTACGTAGCTATTTAAGCTAATTATTGATAAGGTTACCAGATGGTTTCACAAAAATACCCCCCGCCCCCTCCAAGGCCACATAAAAAGTTGAGCCAAAAAAAAAAGCCGCTCCCTCTCCTTCCACCCCACCCAGTATAAGCTATACCGCATGTCCCTAGCGGCCTTCCATCAGGCGCCCGAGCCGGGTCTCAGGAAAAACTGAAAATACTGGACATTTTTGATGTCCAGTATTTTCTGAATTTTTTTTACCAAATGGAAGGTGCAAATACCGGGCTGTCTGGTTCAATACCGGACACCTGGTACCCCTAATTATCTAGGTTGAACTGCTGTAGTCTAGCTCCCTCGGGACCTGACTAGTGCTGAACCAGAGAGTTTGCTGAACCATGGGAGGTCAATTTTGTCTAGCAGCATTACCAATGCTCCTACTGCTTACTGGGCTCATAGAAGACATTTAGGAGCAACTTAAAAAGCAACGAATAGTCTAGCAGCACCTTGAAGACTAACAAAATATGTAGATGGTGTCATGAGCTTTTTGTGGGTACAACCCATTTCTTTAGATGACTGGGATATTAAAAGTCCAGCTCCAAGAATAAATAAGGAAAGGTGGGGGCAAAGGGGCAGGAGTTGGCACCAGGACTAATTGCAAGGGGTGGGTTTCTGGATGATTGATGGAAGTGTGTTGCTTGGTTACAGGAAAGAATTTGTGGTTAGAAGAGAGAACAGGATGCCACTTGCCATCACCTATAGCACACACCTTCAACCCCTCCAGCGCATTATCAACAAGCTACAGCCTGTTGTGGAAAATGAGCCCTCACTCTCACAGGCCTTGGGGGGAAAGGCCAGGCCTCGCTTACAGACAACCCCCTAACCTCAAACAAATTCTTTCCAATAACCACCCAACACACCTC